TGTCAAAATTATACGACTAGGAAAATTAATGTGCATCAGTAATTAGCATAATTTTATTACTAGTTACATTAAATCAGTCTATTTTTGATATTCAATTGCTATACTAAACTTCATTTTATCATGATGTAAATGTGGCATTTCAACTAACATTTAAAAAATTATCTATCACAAGCACACATTTTAATCGATTTAATTACTATTCCAAGTTTTTACTATGTAAAAGACAAGTACATTATTAAACAATTGGTATTTCATATTCAGCAGGTGGTGGAAGAGGAGTCTCATATTCATCATTAGTTGTATCATACACTGGTTCAACAGTTGATCTATTAATAATAACTTTAAATAATAATAATAATTGTATTTTATGTAACTGACTGTGTTTGTTGTACTGTACTGTATGCTGGACTATCCTTCATTAGTATATCATCAGCAGTACTGTATGTGTGTGTATAGACATAATGTAATAGTCAATAGTGTAACTAACTTTGTTTTAAATTCAGTTGTGGCATAAGCTGGACTGCATTCCATTACAATGTCATTATCTGATTTTCTATAAATTTTAAAATTAATTCAGTAATGAATACATTTACCTTTTTTGATTAATATCAGTCTTTTTTCTGTGCATAACCAGTACCAGTATAATAATTATAATTATAGCCAGTACTAATAATACAGTAAGAGCTACAGTTGGACCAACTATCACTCCAATATTCCCCTTATCATTGACTAATACAGTAGTCAATGGAGTAGTCATGGTAGTTGTTTCAGTAGAATAAGTAACTAAAAACATAAACTGATTAATATATGCATCAACAGTTATGTTTTCACTACTAATGACATTACTTCAAAATAAACTGACTACATACATCTATTAGTATATGTACTGTCTTACTTGTTGATGATAATGTAACAGTAATGACTAATGATGTATACACATATATGGAGATATATGGAGTGGCTCATTATAGTATTACCTGGTGGTATTGGTTGAGTCCTCTCTCCTTCATAAATCCTTCCATTAACATTAAATGATATAGATATAGAGAACAAGTAGTTCAGATTAGGATCTAATCCTCCTATTAGACCTTCAGTAGTATCACCTGGGAATACTCTCATTCCTGTCTCTACTTGTCTCTTCTTTCTTGAGGAGCTACTAGTTGACTCATAATAGACAGTATAATGACTAGCTCCAGAAACAAAACCCCACTCAGCCATCACTGCTGTAGAATTGAGCTTTGTTATAAAAAAGGTTTCAATGAGAGCTAAAATGGGTAATACCAAATACGATGATACATTAATTTACTATTCTTTACGCAATTGCTTACTATATGTTATTTTAATTGCTTACGTATTTGAATAGTACTACATAGTCTATCAGTCCATTCTCCTGGTCCAATACTAGTATATGCTCTCACTCCAATAGTATAACTAGTATTAGGTATCAATCCTACTATACTGTAATAAGTGTTAGTAGTGTTAGTTACAGTGTATGGACCAGTACTGGTAGACTCTCTATATCTTATCTCATATACTGTAATGATACCATTAGGTATTGTAGGAGGATTCCATACAATAGTTATTGCAGTTGGTGATTTTCCATGTCTTAGATCAGATATCACACCAGGAACTGTGTTAAGATCATGTTAAACTGATCAATATCTCATTGACTTACTTGATTCAGCAGTTAATTGTACTTTTTGTCTAGCTGGTCCAGTCATATTATAATTATAAGGTATTATACTCACAGTATAGTTAGTATATGGTATTAATCCTGTGAGATTATACATTCTGTTGTCTCCTCCAGTGATATTAACAGTATAACTAGTGTTTGAAGTGATGTTAGTGTACGTGA